GTCAACCACTTCCCTTGATCAAATCATAATAGGGAGGAGGTTTGCGAGTCTTTCATTGTACATTTATCGAAATTGTACCGCTTGGTTCATAAGTCATCACGCAATGAAATTGCACCGATTGATGGCTTGCAAATCTAGCCTACCTCTCATTTGGGCTATTTGATGATAAGGAGAGACAGGGTGGACAAACATCCTCTGAGAATGCTTTGTTTGTGCTCTGTTTATTTTCTGTTGTAGTAGGAGAAATTCAACATCAGTGGCCGGTAGGCCACTAGTGGGTTGTTGGCTACTTTTTCCAACAAGGTAGTGTACTGTTTTTTGCAGAACAGAGCAGAAACTGAGGTGAAAAATCAGTGCAATCTCCCGACTGTGCAACAGAAGCATTCGATAGCAAAACGGAAAACATTTTCAGATGGAAATCCACATCCATGCATGAATAATCCCCCGATTCTCAGGATCCGTTTAAATAATGTTGTAATGTTGTAATGTTGTAATAGTAGTATGTTGTACTTAAAGTAGCGGATTTGTAACTAATTAGTTAGTTTAGTTAGAATAGCTAGTTAGTTTTGTGTTGTACTTAATTAATTAGCTAAAGTAGTTAGTTAATTTGTGGTGTTGCAATAATTAGCTAGCATAGTTAATTTATTTCATTTGGTTTGTAATAGATTAGTTAATTCGTAGTAATTAGCTAGGATATTCATTCGGACCCTCCTGCGCGAGGGCAAAATATGTAATAATGTGTATGTCTTCCAACTCTACGTCTTTCTCACTTTTATTTATCTGCTTATGATGGATAGAATAGAACATCATGTTTCATTTAGCATATTCCATGATTTGCATCCACTTGTCTTACATGCATCGAGGCTCGGTTCATCATTCTAACAAGCATTGTCGTTTATTATTTCGTTGAATACGTGTCTAAATCGCATGCTATCAAATTGATTCACATGTCATAATTTGTGGCCGAGCCCATTGATTACATTTTTGCATGTGTTGCATTAGGCCTCTTTCATTAGTTAGGATCATGAATTTTTCTAACTAGTTTCTCTTTTGGCTCGCCTCGGGAATTAGGGTAAGCATTTTTTTCTTTAGCATATCACATGAGTGTGATTGTTGCCATGTTGAGCATGATTACCACGAGGCTAATTGCTTAATTGATATACTTGTTTGAATTCCTGTGGCTGAAAACTAATTGCTTGAATTGGATTAATTTGAGTAATGTACATATGCGATCACTTTTTTAAGTGGTATATATTTGAAACAATTTTCAAACAAACATGAATCAAAGTGTTCCAATTTTTTGCAAATTAATCTATATTTGTGTGCAACACATAGTAAGTTAGTCTAATAATCGGAACAAGATCATATAATGTAGACAAGAATCACATCATGATTAGTAGAGGCCGATCTTTGATCGGGCGAGTGGGGTGCTCAATTCATGCTTTCCATTCTCGTACCTAAGTTCCTGAGCCGAGACAATTTTGGTGATGACAGACACGTGGCCTTTGGCATGAGTCATGAGTTTTCTAAATTTTTCAAAAATATTTAAGTGGTGACTCTGTGTCTGGCAAAGCAGTTCATTTTTGGCATTTTGATTCAAAATTTATTTTCCCAAAGAATTGCTAGACTTGGACTCATTTGTGTTTATCTATTTCACATCGCACTTGTGGAATTAGATTCAGGATCACGGGAGTCCGAACTGTAGGGCTAGTTGTATTCAAAAGGAGCACAAAAAGTCGAGCTACAATTTCTAGCGACTCTACTGGGGACTTAGAGAACTTGACTTGAAATTCATGATGTGAAATTTTATCTACACTTATGTGTTCTTTGCATTGCATTTGCATTTGTTCTTTAAGTCACTGTGTTTGCCACATGTTATTCTTGGACGATTTGTTGGAGGCTTGCCCAAAAGCTTGCCAAAAGGCTGACCGGTTGTGGGCTTTGCCATGTTGGGAACACAACCCTTAGATCTGGACTACCGTTGTACCGTTTGATCCTCCTTTCACTTCTCAGTGTTAGGTGTAGGAGGTATATTAGGTAGTCTTGTTAAGGTACCCCTTTTGACCAATCGGCCTAGTTGCATATCGGAAACCATAGAGACTGTTCCAAACTAGGACAGGTTGCTTACCTGAATGCAGGATTGTGTGAAGCTACTTGTTGTGCATAGTGAAAACTCTAGCTCCTGACGAAACTAGGACAAGGTAACCCTACCCCATCATAGGGGTATTTTGGCTCTCTTTAACTGGTATGTGCTTTACAGTGAAACTGTACAGGGTAAATTCTACAGAGGCAACACCCATTGGTGACTGAATCTCCCCTGTTATAGTAGGCTGCTAGCAATAAAACCATAACAACATAAGTGAAAAATATTCATAAGCACATAAAAATGACATATTAGGGGCAAAAAGAGTCTCTTAAACTAACATAATTGCTTTAATTTCAATATGAGCAATTATGGGGCTTGGGTGGGAATGGGTTGATTGTTTGGATTTTCGATTCACTGTGTTTGAGTGTGTGTATGTAATTACACGATATATATATATATATATATATATATATATATATATATGTATAGATAGCCTAGGTGAGGCGGTGGCGGCATGGTAGTGGACATGAGGAGGTGCGTCTTGGATGTCTCAGTTGGCGCTGGTGGCTGTGAGTTAAGGCTTGAGTCTCTTGGTTGTATGGGTGCTCTAAATCTGCTTGTTAGATGTTTATGTGGGTGCTTTGATTATGCTGTGAAATAGTGTTGGGTTACACATAGTACTTTGATTTTTGGTTTTTTGAAAACATCAGCAAAATTTGTTACTTCACTTATTGAATGACTGATGGAGTGGGGAATCGTAATGTGAATCAAACTTAGAAAAGGAAATGTAATTTCTAGAACTTCAAAGGTACTTATGTAATGAAAACAAACCTCAAGAGATGTCAGTGTAATTTACCTTATTTATAATTTATAAAGTAGACCAAAGAATGCCTCCAGAGATTGGAATTCCCAGTTCTAAAAAGCCCACCAAAACCACGGATGCAATACTATTCCTATACAAATGCCAAATTACTTTCTTTACATCTTCCTCTCTTCTCAACACTGTTTTAATTTTTCATTTATTTCTTGCAACACTGTTTGATAGTCAATAATAGAAGCAGACTCAGCAGAGATACAGACAATCAAATGTTAACAACCACAGTCCAACAATTCTATTATGGGCCTTGTTACAACTGATAAACAGGTTGCAATTGACTTCAAAGAAAGAGTTGTTCACATAATGTTATTATCCCCTATAAATCAATGATTGTCCAATTTTCTAAGTTCTGTATTAGACCCACATAATATACTATTTTTTAAAGTATCCATAGCATGAATATTGTTTGAAAATAAACAGCAGGCATCGAATATTGGCTCACCAGCCAATCCCTTGATGATTCATACATAAGCAGCCTCCCTAACTCAGCCATGGCATTTTCTGTAATGATTATAATCATACATTACATTAATGTATCAATAGAGAAAAAAAAAAATTAAAATTTTGAAGTAATGGGAAAACAAATACAACATTTTTGAGCAACAAAAACCATAACGAACACATGAACATGAAATATTTTGGAAACTGAATCTAAAGAAGGACATAAGGTTGTACTTCTTCAAATGGTTTGTCTAAATCCTCTACTCAACTCAACTAGCTTTCGTCCCAATTACTTGAGATCGGTTACATGGATCTATTTACTCCAATTTGGTTCTTTTTTGGTCATATCATTACTTAAATTTAAGATATTCATGTCCTTTCTTATCACATCAACTCAAGTTCTTCTTAGCATTCCTCTATTTCTTACATGCATGTTAACTAGTCACGTGGATCAAATCACTTCTCCTTACATGCACGTTATCTAGTCTATGATGCTCGTGACCAAAGTAGGATCAAATCAATCATCCTTACAGTTGTGTTAATTAGTCTATGATGCACGTGACCAAACAATCTCAAACAATTGTTCATTATCTTATCTTCAATTGGTGCCACTTTTCATCGGACTTCCAATTCAATGACATTTTCTGTTGCAAGACTATTGATGCAACTACATGTGGTCATTATTGTAACAAAGTATTAAAACCTTTTTTAAAGGTATAATTGAGAGGTAGGGATTAAAAAAAATATTACCAACAAGCACTTCATTTCCCCTCTATTTCCGCCCAATTTTGGGGGCAAGATAAATGCTCAAAATGTGGGCCCTGTCTCCCCTCACAACCCCTCCATGCTCTTCCCTTCCCCTACTTAAAAATGGGAAATCATTGGGTACTCTCATAGCACCACGCGGCATTGTCTATGTGGTGGTCCAAACCAATAGCGTAGTGGGAAATCGTATTGGTGGGACATGGTGAATCATACTTGTTAGGTAGTTGGGAGACAAGTGATGGTCCACTTAGTGTGGGTTGTAATTTCTCATTTTCCGGGCACACCACATAGACAATGCCACAAGGTACTCCCAGACTATTCAATGAATTTCCCTTAAAAACAATGTAAACAAGGTCAAAATTAATTTCCTTTCAAATCCTTCATTTCCCCCCCACTCAATCAAAACACTAATATTTTATGTAGAACTAAGAATTCGAATTTAAAAAATTAGTATCTGTTACAACAACATACTCTACATAAACTATGGTTCTTTTGATTGTGCCTTATCTAAACTATCAAACTAGAATTTTAAATTGGTGTGATTTTAAATTAGAACTAAGAATTCAAATGTAAAGAATCATGATTCCCATCACGAGGACAACGCTCACAGCAAGGATATGCAAACTAAATTTTCAGCCACATCAAGATTTGAAAATGTTAAAGGACCTTGACTTCGTTATTGATTCGTTACTAAAATATGCAGCTCATTTTATCTAATCAACCAAACAGTAGTACAAAATAAAATAGCAGAGAGAGAGAGAGATGCAGTAACTTGAAGGGTCACTCATTAAAGATGGGGCAAGGAGTCTGCTTATTTCTAAGAACAGCAACCTAGTGCTTGACCAGTGGATGTGGAGGAACAAACACCTGAAAACCAACACAATTACATATGAGAACCTAATCGAATTAAATGCTCTCTTTGGTTACTGAGAAAATACATGAATTCCAATGCCAAATAGAAATAAGAAATTTCCCTCATTCCCTTCAATTTTCCAGCACTTTCTCAGCAACCGAAAGGATGGTACACTCACCAGCATTCTATTTTCTGATATCGATTTCTCCGACATCGTCGTTTGGGATTTGACGGCCATACAGCTAGGGCGCCGAGAATTTGAGCAGTAAGAAATCTATGACAACAAAAAAAAATAAAAAAAATGAATCTATAGTGAGAGAAAGTTAGGGTTTCGGAAAAAAAAAACTGATGTGAGAGAGAGAGAGAGAAATTGAAATACCTTGTTGGGATTGAAAGATGAAGAGGAAAGGAGGAGATTGAGAGAGTGAAGGCTTCGTGGGATTTTACAAAAAAAATAACTTTTGTAGAGAAAAGCACTCCTTAAATAAATATTGACAAACTACAGAAGGATTTTTCATCTTTGACTTTTGCGATGATGTAAAATGAACAATAAATAAAATGCTTATAGAACCAACAACATACTCAAAGCTTTATTTGTACTCATGATATTAGTACCTAACATAGCTGTGTACAAGCAATTGGATCAACAATTCTGGATCAACACAACACAACAGATGAAATCACAGTAAAAATAGTAAGAGTAGATAGAGATTGTTCCAAGAGGTTCAAACACCTCTATTGTTTTCAAGAACAAATTAAATTCAACAGAATATTGAAATCAATAGAATATTGAAATTCAACAGAATAATGAAGAGGAGAGAACTAAAACCTCCCCAAAACCTCCAAATCACAGAATATTGAAATCATTAAACACATATAATAGATATAATAGAGAGAGAAAGTTGGATTCATTCATAGAAATTGGGCTTACCGATTATGAATCAATCGAAATCTTCAAATCTTCATCAACAATTGATCAAAACCTTCAAATCCTCATCAACAATTGATCAAAATCTTCAAATGAACAATAAAATTGTGATGGAGAGTCCAAAGAGAGAGTCGAACAAGAGAGAATGAAGAGTAAAGAGTGGAGAGAGAGAGAGAGTTCATACCGTTAGAGGTCGGTCTTCAATGAAGAGAGTGAAATCGATTTGGGAAATAAGGGATAGATAGGGCTGAAAGAGATAAGGGATCGATTTGGGAAATACGGGATAGATACCGTTGGAGGTCGGTCCTTAGGTCAATCGTTTGTTGGGAAATAAGGGATCGATTTGGGAAATTGAAAGAGAACCAAAATCGATTTTTTCCTTTCTTTTTTTTTTGTTTAAGTTAAGAACACGATTTGGGGGTTGAAATAAAATGACAGTTTGGTGTAAAAAGTGATTTTTTGCGACGGTTAAATAATCAGTCGCAAAAAAATAGACGCAAAAAGTCTAATTTCTAGTAGTGTGTTCCAATTTTTTGCAAATTAATCTATATTTGTGTGCAACACATAGTAAGTTAGTCTAATAATCAGAACAAGATCATATAATGTAGATAAGAATCACATCATGATTAGTAGAGGCCGATCTTTGATCGGGTGAGTGGGGTGCTCAATTGATGCTTTCCATTCTCGTACCTAAGTTCCTGAGCTGAGACAATTTTGGTGATGACAGACACGTGGCCTTTGGCATGAGTCATGGGTTTTCTAAATTTTTCAAAAATATTTAGGTGGCGACTCTGTGTCTGGCAAAACAGTTCATTTTTGGCATTTTGATTCAAAATCTATTTTCTCAAAGAATTGCTAGACTTGGACTCATTTGTGTTTATCTATTTCACATTGCACTTGTGGAATTAGATTCAGGACCACGAGAGTCCGAACTGTAGGGCTAGTTGTATTCAAAAGGAGCACAAAAAGTCGAGCTACAATTTCTAGCGACTCTATTGGGGACTTAGAAAACTTGACTTGAAATTCATGATGTGAAATTTTATCTACACTTATGTGTTCTTTGCATTGCATTTGCATTTGTTCTTTAAGTCACTGTGTTTGCCACATGTTATTCATGGACGGTTTGCTGGAGGTTTGCCAAAAAGGCTGACCGGTTGTGGGCTTTGCCATGTTGGGAACACAACCCTTAGATCTGGACTACCGCTGTACCGTTTGATCCTCCTTTCACTTCTCAGTGTTAGGTGTAGGAGGTATATTAGGTAGTCTTGTTGAGGTACCTCCTTTGACCATTCGGCTTAGCTGTATATAGTAAAGCCCTAGTGACTGTTCCAAACTACGATAGGATGCTCACCTGAATATAGGATTGCGTGAAACCGCTTGATTTAAATAGTGAAACCTAGTTCATGATAAAATTAGGAGAGGGTAACCCTACCCCCTTATAGGGGTGTTTTGGCTCTTTCTTAACTGGTATGTGCTTTAGAGTGAAACTCTGCAGGAGTGTGTATATTAGTGGTACAGTTGGTACCTGTTTTGGGGTAGAATTCAGCAAGGAGTACATTCACTCAACTATGATCATATATATTCTAGTTAAATTGGGCTGAAGTGCTGTCTGTTTTCTCTTTTGCTAGGTAGTCGTGGAACTATAGCTTTAGAAGGCTCCGATATCCCCCAGGTACTCTGGACTTGTGTCGATAGACTCTGTAAGGTCGGGGACTTAGTTCAAGGGCAACCAGTGTTTGCTTCACTGCCGCCGTTTACAAGGCGAAGGAGGATTAGACAGAATTTACCAGTCCAGTTCCTACAGCAATCACCCCTTGGCTTACTTATGTCCAGTCCGGTTTAAGAATAGTCATCTACTTCCATCCCAGCACAAGACCAGTCACCTATTCCAATGGCATAGTATCTCCCGGCCAGTATGGAGGAACTAATACATCATTTGTAACAGACGGTCGAGACACTACAACAACAGCAACCACAGCCAGCAGCGGCCTTTGCATCACATGTGCCCACCGCAGCTATCCCTGTGCCCGGTGCCACTGCTAATACTACCAATGTCCAAGAAAACTAGGGTAATCCAACAGAGCCAATCCCAGCACAATCTTCCAAAGCATCGGTTTATCAGACCGAGGCACCATTTGATTTGAAAGTCGATCCAACTATGCTCAAAGTCAACAAATTAGAGAAGTTGTTCAAGAGAGCACAATGGGTTAACTTCATCCCGGACATAGAGGATTGATACACTTGTTCTGGAGTTACATTGTCGGATCATTTCAAGATGTCGTACATTGATTATTTTGACAGCTCCGGGGATCTAATGGTCCACTTGTGATTGTTTTCTGATATCTTGCGGCCAACAGGCTTAACTAGACCACAAAAACTATCTCTCTTTGGTCGTACCATGTCGGGTATAGCGGCCATTTGGTATGCTAAGTTGGAAGATTCCGTCAAACAGAATTAGGATGAGATGACCGAAGCTTTCATTGCTCAGTACTTTTACAATACACAGATTGAGGTCTTAACTCGTGATCTTAAGGCAACCTGTCAAGAGCCAAAGGAGGGTTTCTCTGAGTTTGTGACTAGATGGAGGGCCAAAGCCTCGATGATGACCACGAGACCTTCCGAGAAGGATCATATAAGAATGGTTGTTCGGAATCTGCATAGCAAGTTGCTGCAAAAGATGATTGTTCTACCTCTATTTACCTTTACAGAGCTTCATAAAATGGGGTTTCAAATCGAGGATGCCATCAGACAAGGGATCATTGTGGAAGATAATAAGCCTTTGGAGAAGAATGTCGTTCGCAGTTCCAATGCTACTACCAGTGGTAGCATAGCAGTGAAATGCTCAGAAGTAAACACTATCACCACTCCCATTAATAACCAAAAATCAACCACTTTAACTCGGTCCCAAGCCCAAAATTTCCATCATGTTTACATGAGTCTCTCTTAAGCCTTGAAAATGCTGCTAGAAAAAGGACACCTAGAGTTTCTAAAACCCCGACCCCTTCCAAATCCTTTTCCACCAAGACATGACCCCGCAAAATACTGTGCCTATCATCAACAACAAGGTCATGATACAAACCGCTGCATCTACCTTCGTCATAAGATTCAAGATCTTATTGATGAAGAGATCATAGCTCCACCAAAAAGACCTCAGGCCACCACTAAGCCATTACCTCCACACTTCAACCTAATCCATACACTGCCATCCACCTACAACCCCAGCATATACATCACCCCCGCCCATTTACCCAAGCCTGAGGTGTTCATTCCAGAAAGCACGTACTTGCGTATGATGAATGCACTTGAACCCCAATCATCTCAAACCCCATCAAATACACCGCGGGCACCAATAGCCAAACCCACTACTTCTGAGGTGATGAGCATGATTGAAGATTTGTAAAGAACTGTGGCAGATTAAGCCTTTGGGATTTTGGCTTCCTCATCGACCACATCACATGCCAGAAATTTCATGCCAAAAGGCTCCCTAATCTTGGGGCGAGCTGCAATTGAAAACAGTCAGCCTAAAGCTATCTCGAGTCTAGGTGATTACATGTCAACAATGAATGGGTCTCGCTTCGATATAGCCACCCAATCTCTTGGAAAAGCTGAAACAAGTGGCAAGAACAAGGTCAGGGCTAACATTGATCCATATGAACATCTTTAGTGGACTATTGAGGTTTTGAAGGGCAAAGGGTTGAATAAGTAGCAAGTACTTGCAGTTATTGCAAAAACTGTGAATGACACTTTTGTCGTTCAGGATAGGGGCATTTTGAATCAAGGGGCAAGCCAGGGAAAGGGATGCTATACTTTCAGCTCCAATCCTACACTCATAAGAGATTATCAAACCCAATCAACACCCGCCAATCCTTGCAGGACTGGTAACCACACCTATAATCCCCTTTTCATGACCTTATCCAAAGCTTTCCAAATCCTCGTAGGACAAGGCCATCTCAAACCCCTTGACCCTCGGCCTTTTCTTGATCCTCTTTTATCAGGCATAATGCTGCCAAGTACTATGCCTTCCATCAAAAAACCAGCCATGACACTAACAGTTGTTTTCGTCTTCGCTACGAAATTCAAGACTTAATTGACAATAAGGTCATCACTCCACCAAGTCCTATAAAGCCTATCAGCATTGGATCGATGAACTTGGAGGATAATGTGACTATTTGACTGGGGATGAACCATCTACTGATGGCGCTCATTTTCCTCCAGATATGGTGGATGGCACGCACTTTTTAGCACTTTCAAAATGCTGTTTATTTTACTTTCAGACTTGGGTATTAATTCAGTCTTGTTGTGTTGTATGGAGTCAGTCTCGTTGTATTTAGTTAGTCTTGTTGTGTCGAAGGTTGATGATTTCAGGTGTGTTAACTCGGGCATCACTTTCTTGTTTTGTGTTTGTCTTTTTCACTCTTTCTTTTGCGTCTATTTCTACCATTGAGCCAGTTGAGCCAGAAGTTCTGAATGAAATGGCAGTAATTTTCACCTATTTTTTTGTGCCTTTAAATCAT